TTTTATCAGGGATTTTTCAGTTTTCCAATAGGGAACACCAGAATTCCTGCTAGGAAGCCATTGCTGTGCTGTCACAGAGCAGGTAGCAGCACCCCAAGGAGGTTGTTACTGCTGCAGCCAGGATACCAAGGGGCTCTGTGGAGGATTACTTTGTGGGATTCTAGTCCCCATTCTACTGCAGGGGCTCCAGGCTCTCACTGTGGGGGTCAAAGCCTGGAAAGAAGGCAAATTAAGAGATGCCTACTGTGTGCGAGTGGGGTATGGGACCCCCAGGACTTAAGAGGCTGGATAGTGCAAGTGAAGTAGCAGGTGACAGGTGGGAGAGGCTGCAGCACCCCTGTGCTCACCCTAACCCAGGGCCCCATGAAGCTCAGAAGTCTATGGGATCTCCATGTGGCACCACCCAGAGAAGAGAAGACAGGTAGAAACGAAGAGCCACTGTTGCACAATAGCCAGGTTCCTGTGCTGGGTGGGGGAGGAGGGGATGGTGGCTCCTCTCCCAGTAGGAGTGCCATTTTACTGCGCTTGCTGGATGAGGACATCGGACAGGTCCTCCACACCCTGTAGTCTCAGGTTCTGAAAGACAAGAGAAAGCCAGCTCATGCTGTGAGCTCTTGCCCCCAGCTCCCACTAAGCTAGACCCATTTTCTGGTGTAAACTGGAAGACCCGAGAGTGTCAGGGAGAAAAGTATTAGCTGCCTGACATGCAGGAGGGACATTTCAAAGAGCTCGTGGGTCAAGTTTGACCTGGCATGGGCCCAGTACAGAGACACAGCCATTCCCAATCTACAGTGTTGCTTCCACAGCAAAGCCCATTGAGATTTGCTTGAAGGGTCACGAGCCTGGCTGGGCAGTGCTTGCCTTTGGTCCATCTGGCCCCTGCCACACCTGATCTCCCCTCAGTTTTCCCCTCTAGCTTGGCCCAGCAACAGTGGAACAGCTGTGAGCAGAGTGCAGTGACCACATCACCTGTGATTGGGACAGAGCTGGACACAATAAAAAGGCTCTAGAGCTGTGGGGTCTCTGTACTCCCTGCCCCACTGGCTGCTCTGCTTTATGCTCGCTCCCTCATCTGCTGCATGCCACATGCATCTCTCCATACCATGCCCCAGCTTGCCCCATTGGCTGACACCCCTGCTCTAGAAGGCATTCCCAGCAGAGTTCAATGCTATGCCATGAAAGCTGCCCAAGCAGCAGGGGGAAAGCATGCAGGAGAGGCTTTAGGAGGTGACATCTGCCCACTTCCATCCCACCCCTCCATGGTCTGAGACAGCCTGAGTGACACTTGTACTTTCCTTGTGGATCAGGTCCTAAGCTGAAGCAGCCACATTTGTGCCCAGATCTTGGGAGTAGAGACCACCCCCACTCCTCTCCTTGCAGCCACCAGGGGACATGGAAGTTGCTACACTCACCTTCTCATTGGCCAAATGCAGGAGGCAGGAGAAAGCCAGAGGGATGGAGAGGTTCTGCGCCATCATGGAAGGCAACCTACATTCCAAAGTGTGGTGGAGAGGGTTAACTGGCAGCTGGAGCCACAGCAGGGGAGTCCATCCTGCTTGGCAGGTCCCAGACCAGTTCCAGCCAGCCTGAGGCTGCTCCCCCTCATGAGAGGCACTGCCCCACACCCCTGCAAGCCAGCCCATAGAGTACCAGGGTGGAAAGGCTCTCCATCTAAGAGAAACAGGGGTTCCCTTAGGAAGTACCCAGGATCCAGCCAGCTGTCTTCAAGGAAGCAAACTAGACAGCAACTCTGGCTCTGGTTATTTATCCACATTGAGCAGCAAGTGCAGCTCTGAAGTTCAAAACCCCTCCACGTTACGTTTATGCCACAACGCACTTGTAACTGCACCAAAAAGGGAAGGTGGTGCACTATTGTAGGGACCATGAAATGGGCAACAGTGCCCCACATACCTGCGCGGCAGCTCCTTTGTGAGATTACTCAGCACCTTCTCACCCATTACCACTGCCGCTACCTCTTCCTCCGCGTCTTTGCTCTGCTCAGAGAGAAAGATGACAGGGCAGTGCTCAGACACTCAGCTCCATCATCACCATATACCACAAGTGCTCACTCAGGACCTCAGAGTGCCATTTTGGTAGACAGTGGCAGGCACAAGTCATCACTGGGGAAACAGCTTTTTCATGAACCAGCCCTGCCTGGTGTCTTCCAGGTGGGAAATGGACACAGCTCTTTCTAAAAGAGGGTCCTCAGGCCCTCACTGTTCAACATCTTCATCAGCAACTTGGATGAGGGGGTGAAAAGCACCTTGTTCAAATTCACGGATGACACTAAGATGTGGGGAGAAGTGGGCATGCTAGAAGGGAGGGACAGACTGCAATTGGATCTGGACAGGTTACAGGTGTGGGCAGATGAGAACAAGATGGTATTCAATACTGACAAGTGCAGAGTACTGCACCTGGGGAGGAAGAACCAGCAGCATACCTACAGGCTGGGTAACTCCCTTCTCATCAGCACAAAGGTAGAAAAGGATCTTGGACTCATTATAGACTCCAAGATGAACATGGGCTGCCAATGTGGGGATGCAGTCAGGAAGGCTAACCGCACCTTGTCATGCATCCACAGATGCATCTTGAGCAGGTCCAGGGAGGTGATCCTCCCCCTCTATGCAACACTGGTCAGGCCGCAGTTGGAGTACCGTGTCCAGTTCTGGGTGCTGCACTTCAGGAGGGATGTGGACAACATGGAGAGGGTCCAGAGGAGGGCCACTCGCATGATCAGGGGGCAGCAGGGCAGGCCCTATGAGGAGAGGCTATGAGACCTGAACCTGTTCAGCCTCCACAAGAGAAGGCTGAGGGGGGATCTAGTGGCCTGTTACAAACTAGTCAGGGGGGGCCAGCAGGCATTCCGGGAGTCCCTGTTCCTCCGAGCACTACTGGGAGTAACAAGGAATAACGGCCATAAGTTGACAGAGAGTAGATTCAGGCTAGACATCAGAGTAGATTCAGGCTAGACATACTTCACTGTCAGGGTGGCTAGGATCTGGGACCAACTCCCAAAGGAAGTGGTCCTTGCTCCTACCCTGGGGGTCTCCAAAAGGAGGCTAGATAATCACTTTGCCGGGATCATTTGACCCCAGTATTCTTTCCTGCCCATGGCAGGGGGTCAGACTCGATGATCTGCTCAGGTCCCTTCCAACCCTACCAACTATGAAAAGGAGCATCTCCCCTCAAAGAGCCACAGGCATCATCCACAGCCTCATCCAGGCTTTGGTAAAGCAGGAGGAGACCAAGTTGGCATCCTCCTTGGAGCTCTTAGGCATTTATACACATAGGAAATCCAGTGCAAGCTTAGAGCAGGCTTGATTAATCAAGTCTGCTGAGCATGCGAGCTGACATGCCCAGCACTGCTTTGCATGCATTCATCTAAGTGGCAAAACGCACATCAGCGCTGAGAAAATGGTGGCAGTGCACTTTTGAACTAACACACATCAAAGGTGCATTGTACCAATGTGCATGTCGCCATTTATACAAATACATGCACTGCAGCATTTAAAAGCACCTGGTGCAGTGGCGCATGCATGTGTAAAAATGCCCCTTATGTCTACAATGGATTGCCCTGAGACAGGCCAATCTATACCAGAGGGAAGGGGAGCAAGTACCACATAGGGCTTGAGAAGGTTGCATGTGCTGCTGACAGACTCCTCAGTGTGGCCATGCAGGGGATAGACAGGGCTCCCACATTACCATGTGGCAGGGGCAGCCTGACAAGGGGCCAGCATGTTTTATTGTACCTACCTCTGCCAGCGCTTGCTTCTGATTGGCTTCAGTCAGGAGGTCCCACATGGTCTGCTTGAGTTTTTTCATGTCCATCTTCTTGGCCATCTTGGCATACTGAATCTCAATCTTGTTGACCTGAGGGCAGACACGCTGGGCTAGGGTGGGGAAGAGGCCCCAATCAGAGGTGGGGGTGGGGACAGCAGACATCTGAACACCTTCCTGGACCGACTCCAAGCTACCCTGTGCCTATTCTCACCTTTTTAGGCTCCGTGACCAGGTTGGACTCCCCATAGGTCATGATGTCAGCCCTGTTGGCATCGATCCCCTGATTGAAGCCCCAGGCAGTGTTGGCAGTGAGCTCGAAGTCCCCGGTCTGACCCCCAAAGTCTGCAGGGTCATTGTCATCATCACTGTCGGCACACTGAGCACAAGGCAAAACCCAACATGGTGAGGGCACACGTGGACTTGAGCTGAGGGAGATCGTGTCCTCCCACCCAAGTGTGGTGTTCTCCCCACATGCCCAAACCAAGCCCTTGAACCAGAGTAAGAGGGACACATTTGTCCAGGGGGCTTGGAAATGAAGAGGAATCTTGTATCCATGCCTAGCAGCCTCTCTTTGCCTAGCAAAGTAGCTAACAGACCCCCTTTGTGTAGATCAACGTGTCTGTCTGCAGCATCTCCTGCAAAGCACGAGCAAATGACTTCATGGAGACCCAACTACCATATTTTCCTCACATAATAGCAGGAAAGAACTTTATTCTGCCTTTCTGTATATTATATTCCAGGACACACATGTGAGGAAGCAAGGTACCTGGAGCAAGACAAACAGGGAAGACATCAAACAGGCAAAGGGTGAAGGAAGGCATTCAGAGCTGGATGGAATTCATGGACAACCACTAGCCATGGCCAAAGCTGGAGAGATGCAGGCTCATGACAGGAGGGGTCTGCCAGAGCCTGGAAGAAAGTCCATGAGGTTTTCAGAGACCAAAACAGGTCACTTTACTGGCAACCCAAAATGCATGGGAAACCAGAAGAAAGACCAGCTCGAGGTATAGCTGTGTGAAAGGGAGCAGAAGGTTTGTCACAGGCAAAGAGGAATAAGCCTGGAACAGTGTCGCAGCAGAGGTGGCCATAGAAGCTGGGAAGCTCAGAGTCGGCCTGACCTCAATATTATTGGAGCAGACAGAAAGTATCATGTCTGAAGGGGGGTGGAATTTAGTCAAAGCAAAGACCCTGGCCCCATCCCAGTTACCTGGGAAGCAGGACAGAAGTTGGAAGCGTCATTGGGGTTGTTGTAATCGTACTCTCCAATCTCATCACTGTGATCTGAGGAGCTGCTCTGCGTGGACATCCTCCGCAGCTAAGGAGAAGACAGACAGAAACAGCTGGGCGAGACAGGGTGGATGGCCTACGCAACCCAACTGGGACAATCTAGCCATGCTCTCTCACCCCCAAAGGGACCCAGGTTCTCTCTTCTCCAAGCCTACTGCATTGCCTGCTCTCACATCCTCCCCTCTTCGTCCCACACAAACAACCACAGCCTGCTAAGCGTCAGTGATGGACTCCTCTGTATTTAAGGGACCTTCTCTTGCCCAGCTTCTTCTATCACTGTATGCCCCTGCTGGAGAACCTTGGGCCAGCAGCTAAACACCAGTAGGAGCCAGAGAGACCACACACCTTGGCATCTGGCTTGAGGAAGAGCCTGGTGAGGCTGCTGGGGTCATAGTGGAAGTCAGCTGGGAGCGTCGTGCTCTTCTTGTTCTGGCTTTCAAGGACAGATTTGGCCATGGTGGTAGCTGCCTGTTGAATGTCATTGCTGTGTTACACCAGGGCCAGTTCCAGATCAAGTACCTCAAGCCTCGAGGAAAACCACCTCAGACCTCTCCCGCTTCCCAGTATGTGGGACCTCCAAGTTCTACCCTCAGTGCTAAGTTGCTTGCACATCTAGAGCTCTAAAAACCAAGGATACAGAAGTGGATCCTCAGAGCTTCATGTTCCTCAGTAAAATAGGGGCAATTTAAGAGGAACCTTAAAATTAGCAGTGGTCCAACTACAAATTGAGGCTCTTATGAAAGGGAACAAAGTGGGGCACCATGGGAGGAGTCATCATGCCATTATTAAATATGATATAAGTAACCATGTTGACAAAGAGGGGAACACTAGGCTCCCTTCATTCCTGTTTGTCCTAGAAAGCTGTACAAGAATAAGCTAGCTTCTACTTCATACGTACTTGCTAACTGTTCCAAGGGCAAATCTGAAGACACCCCCTCCCCTCCACTGGAAGGCAAAATTGGATCTAAAATACTTCGTTTCTGGAGGGGAAAGATACCAGGAAGAAGCCAGAGTGGCTTTCAGACCCCAGAGCTAGCCACACTTGTAAGTTAACAAGCAATTAGGAAGTTCAGGGCTAGCTTCAGAGTCAGAGTCTCAATCTACAGGAGCTATATAAAAGAAACTCTGAGGTTAAAAAAAAAAAGTCAGAAGCCATGCCCCACACTTCAAAGTCCAGCACATACCCTGGTCTCCCGGAAATAGGGTTCAAAGTTGACATCCTCATCAAAGTTGATTTCAAAGACTTTCTTGGAACTCTTCTTCCTGATCTCTTTATCAGCGCCTGCCTCCACTATGAAGAAAAGGCAAGGAGGGAGTGGGGGAAGGTGGGGTTACAGGTCAGTTCTGGGTGCAGGAGAATTTAGACAGTTTGCGAGTACTGCTAAAAATTCTCTCACTGTTCCTCAGGGAAGGGTCAGGCAGAGGGAGACACTCCACACTCCTCCGCAGATGAGGAGAGCTTCTCTGCAATAGCAGGGAAACTAGACTCCAAAACGGCATCAGCCTTTCTATTCTACAAGCAGAAAAATCGCTTGATCTTGGACACCTGAGGGTGGCTGTAAGCTACACTTGGATTCTGTATTTTCGTGCCTCCAAATTCACTCTTCGTTTTTGGAAGGCCAAATACAAGTTCTCTCCAGCATCATGGCCCATTGCCTGCCTCCTGGGAACACAGAGCATCCAGAAAGTGTGACATCCTGGGAGTGGCAGTGGGAACTTCCTGGTATCGCAGAATAGACCCCAGACCCTTGTAAGGACAGTAGCAAAAAACTGTTGCTTACATGAAAGCATATTTATAGTAAAGATGTTCCTGTAAGTGTGTTGCCTGCTCCCTGGCAGAGATGCATGGGTTCATGCCTGTTGTGCCCCCAGGAGCCAAAGACTCCCCAGTGAAGAGCCAAGAGGTAACAGCTGGGCAGAGAGAGGGCAGGTGAGTGCAGGGACGCTCGTAGGGAGCTGAGGCCGTGCCGCACCAGCTAAGTGGACCCAACCCCCGCCCCCCTCAGTCCCTACTTAGCCAAGCCCCCCAGGGAGCCCTGCAAACAGAGAACAGAAACAGGTGTGGCCCGACTAAGGCATGGGAGTTCGTGCAGAGAGGCGCACAAAAGGCACCCAGAGGGCTGGTCCGAGCAAGTGGCCTGAGCCCAGAGGCCTAAAGAGCAGCTGCTGCTGAGATCAGGGAAGTACAAGAAGTACCTCGCATCCATGGCAGTGACCTGCCGTGCCCATCAGCTTCTCCAAACCAAGACCCCAACCTTGACAGAGCTTACAGCCCTAGCCCTGGACTGCAGGGGCTGCCTGGTGCAGCAGCAGCTGCTGACACCCAAGCATGGGAGCACCACCACTTGTGGGATGTGCTCCTTAGGAGTCCCTGGATGGCCAAGCGTGGGAGCTTGAGGAGGGTGCAGAGCTGGCGTACCTCATCAGGGCTCACGAAGATTACATCAACAACTACTGCCAGGCCCTACTCCAGGGAAATGGAGGAAAGGAAGAAAGTGAAGGAGGAGGAGGAGGAGGAGGAGGAAGAGGTGGCCACAGATGGGCCACAAAGACCCCCACCGCAGAGCTACCTGGAAAGCGGTGGTCTCCAGGTCTGGAGCATGCAGAGCTAGGGCCACTCCTCCCCTACCACTGCATAAGAGGTTCACTCCCCTCACTACGCACAAGGAGACATCGGAGGAGGAGGTAAGTACTCCCACCCCTAGGAGGAGATGCCAGGTGGTGGTAGAGGGGTACCCTTGAGGGGTACGGAGGGACCTCTGCTGGCAGACCTCTTAGCCTGAGAGGTCTGCTGTCTCCCTGTGGCCTGCACCCAAGATGTTGCGGAGAGGATCCTCAGGCTCATCCGTCCCTCTGACTATTACCCCATGCTTCTCATCCATGTGGGAACAAATGACATGGCCAGGGGTAACCCTGACCAGGTCATGAGTAACTACAGGGGGCTGGGCTCAAGGGACTAGCTCAGGTAGGTTTTCCTGGGCACGGACCCAGGAGGGAAGGCTGCATGGAAGAGGTCAACAGACACCTCAGACAGTGGTGTTACCACAAGGGGTTTGGTTTCTTCGACCACAGCATGCACAAGAGACAGAGATGACTCTTAGGACAAAATGGCATTCACCTCAGGTGGAGAGGTAAGGCCCTGTTCTCAGCCAGGATAGCTGATCTGTTGGACAGAGCTTTAAACTAACTTTGCTGGGGAACAGGTAAACTCCAAGTGGAGCATGCCCAGGGACTGGCACACAGGAAAGTTCCCTTGTGGAGGACAGTAGCGCAACTGTTTTTGAAATGCAAATCCCACAGCATCTCAGGAAATCGAGGGGGTCAGTTGGGGGCCTCAGCTGCCTGTACACCAATGCCAGGAGCATGGGGAACAAGCAGGAGGAGCTAGCCCTCTTGCTCCCTAGGGGGCAATGTGACCTGGTAGAGATCACAGAGACCTGGTGGGACTCCTCACATGACTGGAGCGTAGCCATAGAGGGCTACACCCTGCACAGAAGGGACAGAGTAGAGAGAAAAGGCGGAGTGGTAGCTCTCTACATGAGAGAGCAGTATACCTCTCTGGAGGCCGACATTGGCTCCAAAGATAAGGAGCTTGAAACCATCTGGGTCAAGCTTCAGGGGGGCAAGGTGAAAGAAACCTAATTGTAGGCATTTACTACAGGCCACCAAACCTAGGGGAAGAGCTGGATCTGTAGTTCTTGAGAACTGACAGAGGCCATGCATGCAAGGGACTTAATTGTCATAGGTGACTTCAATTACCCATAGACTGGAAGGAACGCTTGGCTAGGTCAGATCATTCAGTTTCCTGACCGTCTGTAATACAGGAGCTCTTCCTGACCCAAGTGCAAGGGCCAACCAGAGGTAATGCTCTCCTAGACTTGGTCTTGGCCAAGGGAGATGATCTGCTGTGTGGCTTGAACACTGAGGGTAACCATGAAATTATCAGGTTCACTGTCCACTGCAAGGTTGACAAATCAACCAGCAGGACTGAAGTCCTGGACTTCAAAAATGCTGACTTTGACAGGCTCAAGTGCGTTAGTAAGGGAGGCAATGCAGGACCACAAAGGGAAGGCAAACGGGATGCACAAAAAGTGGCCATTGCTCAAGGATACAATACTCAAAGCAGAAAAGAAAACAATTCCTGCAAAGAGGAAAGGTAGCAGAAGGGCTGGCAAGCCCTTCTGGCTTAATAGGGACATTGTGGTTCTGTTAAAAAAAG